ATTTGCCTCCTCTCCTCCCTCTTTATACACTCCTTTTTTACCTCTCCCTTCTCACCTGCTCTGTTATTCAGGGAAGGTCACCATCCAGGGATCCTCCTGCTACAGGAACATGACCTCCATGAGCTTCTGCTGGACTTAATGTGCCGCTTTGCCCCCCAGCAGCTCCTGAGCTTCCTCCAGACCTCCCAGCACTACAGACTGGAGGAGGCCATACAAGTACTGTCTACTAAACTGTGATTATGTGCATTATGTGGGTTAGGACCAGTGTGTTAAAATTAAGTGGCATTCTCGCAATTAAAGTTGGCATGATTGCAAGCGCGCGAGCTTACCTCAGATAAATGTAGTGAAGTAAAAAGTACAATATGGCCTACACAGCAGTACTTGTAGGCACTGTCTGAAAACAGCTTTATTGATTAAAATAGCAACTAGAAACACATGATCTACTGTACAAATGTGATGATACTGTACCAGATGGCATGTGTCTGACAGTCTTTCTTTCTCTCTAGATAACAGAGAAGTACCACCACAATGAGGCTACAGCCTACCTGCTAGAAAAGAAGGGAGACGTTCAAGGAGCTTTTGCTGTCTTGTTAGAGGTATCTACAAAACAACCAGGAAGTACTGCTTATTAATAAACTAATTATTCAGCATTTTTCCATCTTGCACATGAATTTAATTTAAATACTGGTCTACAATACTAGTGCCACAAACTACTTAAATACCTAAATGTACTTACTTTACACCACTGCTGCTGTTATCATCACACATTTTCTTTTATAATCTCTCTGAAGACACTGAAGGACAAGCTGAGTCTCCTCACTGCTGAGAGTGATAGAGTCGAAGGAGGGAAAGGAAGACAGGATGAGGAGGAGGGAGGTGACGAAGCAACGCTGACAGGAGTGAAGGACTCACTGAATGAAATCATTGTCTTGTGTCATCGAAGCTCCCAGAACCTCTACCAGCAACAAAGAGAGGTACTGTCAGCCTGTCTGTGTGTACACTGACCTTGTAGGGACCAGTAGTCTTCATGGGGACCAAAGACCAGGTTGGTTAGGGTAGGGGTAGGGTGGGAGTTGAGGTTAGGGTAAGGAGTTGGGGTTAGGTTGTCCATAATGAATGTACTAACGTTTAAGTTTCAAGTCCTATACCAGTGATAATGCACATGTTCGCAAATATTTTGTTTATTTACAGAAGGGATAATGCAAATTAATAAATACGAGTCTTAGAAAATGGCTAGAATTATTGTATTGTTTTTTTGTTTTTCAGGTTCATACATTTATGTGGGGGCTCTAATAGAATTACTTTACAAACAAACATTTTTCTCACACTGTACATTGCTGCTTCTAATTTAGACACTGATTTGTCATCTTGTTTTGGGTGAACATCAAAATACGAGTTTGGAAGGGAATCCACTGGTCTGTTTAAACAGATCATTGCTGTACAATGGCCCAAAGTGGATCTGGGGAATTAAGTCACTGGGAAGCATTAACTTAAGCTGATTCAGGAAATGAAGGGAAATAAATTGATTTGTGACACACTTGTTATATAACTTACTTTCTTATCTTTGGCTTGAGGAAAAGCTATCAAGTGAAAAGGCTCAAGTCCAAGAGAAGTCCGAAGTCATTCGTGTTTAACGGCAACATGTAAAAGATGGATTGCCACTTCTTTCCACTATACAAAAATGAATCCAAAATATTTGGTGCCGCGGTATTGAAGTCCCGCCCATACGCCTGGCTGAATCAATCACGAGCAGGGCTCTGCTGTCAATCATGACGAGAAACACACTTTTTATACCTTCTGTAACTAATTAAAACCGAACTAAGCAGAAAAATTAACACTTGAACATACACCAGCGTGGTAAGAACTGCCGCAAATGACGGAAACCATCTTTGGGGAAAATGTATTTGACGTGTACTTTAATACTTTAGTTGGACTTTAGCAGTGGGCTTTATGACCTATACTGCAGTCAGCCACCAGGGGGAGATAGAGATGTTTTGGCTTCACTTTTGGTGAGCTGTCATACCATCCATTGTCATATATGTTGATGGTGTAAAATTCCAAGTCTTGTTTGATTCGGTCAAGTTGAGTCTAGAGTCATCAAATTTGTGACTGGAGTGCATACATCAGGCAGACACTGTGTGCCTGCTCAATCATTGGTTTTTCTGTCTCCCAGGTGCTGTGGTTTCCTCTGCTGGAGACCATGATGGCTTCTCAAAAACTAGTGAAGGGGCTCAATGCCAAACACACATTTGAAGGTAATCACACACACGCTGTTGTTTGTATTTCCACACGTGAAGTTTTGTGTTATGAAAATGATGACAGTGCTGCTCTGCTGGACAACACTGCAAAGCAATACACCTCTTCACTTCGTTGTCTGTGTTGTGATTTTATTTTAAATTGGCAGCACACAATCATGTCAGAATTCCTTTAGTTGTAGTGCAGTTTTAAGTGTGTCCATAAACCATTTTGTCATGATAATGCTTTATTATTTCTTCACCACCTACAGTATGACAAGCCTCTGATGAGAATCGAATCATGTGCTGTTTAAGATTATATGTTTGTGTATGTCTCAGTGCTGAAGGAGCTGACCATGAAGGTTCTCAACTGTATGAGCACCTTTATTTCTCTTCCTGCCATTATCCAGCGAATACTGCAGGTGTGTATGTGTGTTCTTCCCTACTTTAAGTGATTCTTCTGAGTAACAGTCACTGTCTGTGGACCTGGAGCTTGTGTCTGCTTAGATTCCTCTTGGTTGCAGTAGTACAGAGATTTTAAATAAAGTCTAAAAACATCTATAATGCAATATCTGTTGCCCATCCACATGTATTGTGCATTCAAGACAGTCACTGTTCCACCAACTAAATACACTAGTTTGGTGTTGTGCTCCTTCCTTGCAGCCCTAAAGTTTATGTATTGTGCAAAGATTATGCTATTTGAAACATACCACACACCACAGGGTGTCCACAGAGTCTGAAAAAGTCCTAAATCTAACCTGTTGCAACCTGCAGAAATTACACCTCTCGAGTGGTTTGACAAGAGTCCTGTGGACATTTAATGCTTCTTTTCCACCATGAAAACCATTACATGCCACTGACATGAATTCCTGAGGTTTTTTTTAAAGTAGCACAGTACACAGTAGCCCAAATCCCCCAAATAAGATAGTAGGTTACTTTATACAGAACATCTGAGAGGGTATTATGGCATTAAATCCTCAGTCAGTCAACACGGGGAAGAGAGAAGCTATTGACATGGTAATTAACTAATAACAAGTTTGTTAGTAGACAGTTAAACACAGTGGTTGTTTCCCCAGTCAGACTTAACTGATAAAGTAGCACAAAACAGAAGTACAGTTGGTTTAAATAACAAAAGTTAGGACCATCATCTTAAAATGTGTGTTAATTATGATGTATTGTACTGTATTGTAGTGTATTATACTATATCATAGTGTATCATACTTTATAGTACTGTATACGGTATGCGGCTGTGGCGCAGAGGCAGAGCGGGTTCATTCCCTAGGTTGTTGGTTCGATCCCGGTCCTCGTGCCACATGTCGAGAATAGTCCAATTGAGCAAGATACCTGACACCCAAATTGCTCCTAGATGCCGTGCCGTCCGGTGTGAGTGAATGTGTATGAATTAGACGTTAGTGGTCTGTTCGATGGACTTTTGCCATGACTGGAGTGAAAATGTGTTGTGAAAGGGTAAATGTGGCACGTAGTGTAAAAGCGCGTTGAGCGGGTCCGGTCGAAGACTAAGCAAAACAAGGCGCAACTATATCAGTTATCAGACCAATATTACCATAGTTTTAATATTTAACCTGATGACATGTGATGCTGTGCCTGTCAGGACCCAGTCTATGGGAAAGGAAAGCTGGCAGAGATTCAAGGCCTCATTCTGGGTATGCTGGACACTTTTAACTATGAACAGGTAAAGCACTTGTGTGTGTGTGTGTGTG